CGACTTCTCTGCATCTCGCAAGCTCAGAGCACGAGCAAGAATTCTCCAGGACGTCTGCATCAGGACCAAGTCAAAACTCAGGAAAGTTTTGACTTGGTCCTGATGCCAGAAGCATGCCAGCGTGTTGCCTTTATGAAAGACAACCAGAGACCTGGTTCAGGAACAGCACGGCAGCCTGCTCTCGCCCAGGCTGCTCGGGCTAATCAACAGGCGCAGACACCAATATGGCAGACGGTTGAAAAGCGTTTATTATCCTATCTCGTGGGTTTAAATAGTTTTTAGGGGTCTTTGCTACGTCAGAGGGGGGTTGGGGGTCTCAGGGATAGTGGGTAGTGGAAATTTACCAGAACAGGTGTGGCTACATTCTTCTGGGACTCCTGGGGTTAATGGATAAGTGGGGAAGAGAGAGGGGGGGAGGGGTCTATCTTTCCGTGACATCCCGGTGATCTTCCGCTCCGCCTGTCCCTATCTACCACAACTCCCCCCTCCTTATCACATACAAAATGAGGTAGTTGTAGGTAGAGGCACTGGAGTGAGGTACAGACTTGTAACTTGTTAAGGAAAGGGTGGTTTAGTAGATCAGGGTAGATTTTTCAAGGCAGGTGCTGAAGGCTTTAGCTACTGACTGTGTTTGCAGTTTTTTGGTTTACAGCATTTGTTGGTGGCCTATGAACAGAATGTTTGCCCTTTCCAGACGGGCTTGAACAAACGAGACTAGTTTGTTCAGCAGGCATGGTCCTATGGTAATAGCCAAAAGCAGTATTGCCAGTGGACCTACCAGGGCGGAAATTAAAGTGGTGAGCCAAGGTGATTGATTGAACCAGGATTCAAACCAGCTCTGCTGGGTCTCCCTGTCTCTCTTTCTCTGAGCCAGTCTGTCTCGGAGTTCTGCCATGGAGTCTTTAACGACTCCCGTATGATCTGCATAAAAGCAGCATTCCTCCTTCAACGCTGCACACAATCCCCCCTGCTGCATAAACAAAAGGTCAAGTCCCCGCCTATTTTGTAAAACTACTTCTGAAAGCGAAGAGACTGATTTCTCTAGATAGGAGATGGATTTCTCGATCCTCTGCAGGTCTTCGTCGATGGTCATTTGCAGCTGGGAGAGTCCGTGTTGCTGGGTTGCGATGGCTGAGACGCCCGTGGCGGTGCCAGCTGCTCCCAAGCCGAGCAGCATCGCGATAGTTATACCTGTGATGATTTCCCTTTTGTGGAGTCTGTCAGGTTCTTCGAGAAGATGGTATATTTCTTCGTCTGAGTGATGTAGGACCTTAGAAACAATCGGAACTTGGACACAGAAATTGATAGAGTTATTAAACTTGGCAAGGAACATATAAGGATTTACTCTGGGTTTTTGGCAAACTTACATCTCAAATGTGGATGGGACTATTTACTTATTGGTCTTTTGTGGGGAGTGTCTCACTTGCACTGGTGGGGGATATTGGCTGTGGAGTAACTGAAGGGGGTATCTAAAGCATTGCTTTCGTAGAAAAGGGGGTTTAATATCATAGTAAAACTAATAGGGGTTAGTCAGGTTTGATTTGGTTTCATTTAGGGTTAGTAAAATAGCTTCTAAACAGGCTGGCTATGTGGAACACGAAGGATGGGGTATTTATTATGGTGACTTTTTTGAGCACTTTGTTACTTGATAGATGCTGTATGACCCACCTAAATAGCTGATGAGGGTAGCGGCTTGGGCCAGCTTGTTTTCCTGGCCACAAGTTTCTAAACAGCAAAATTGCATGAAGAAAGACACTGTGCATGTTTGGATCTCACCACCGTGGGATTCTCAGGTGTTGTCTGGCAGTTTGGTGGTCTGTCATCTCTTTCTGGAGCAGGGGTGTGTGTGTCACTGGGATGGTTCACAAGCGTGCTCTGCAAACAGAACTCACAGCCTCTCATTAGTTTTGTTTTGAGGGTCAGGTTCGGTTGGTAGCAGTGGTGTGCAGCAGTGGCTCTCATAGTTTCACCACGTGGGGGTTCCGACTGCCACAGAGGCAGCACGTCCCCTACATCCCCGGGGGCTTTCTCCCCACTTTCATGGCTAGGGCTACCCCGGGGTCCCGTATCGGGGCATTCCCTGCTGACTCTGCGGCACAGGCGCCGCTTGCGGTGGGAGGAGGCTGGGTTCGCCCGCGCCCCCCCCCCCCCCCCCCCCGTGTGTCCGGGGCTGGGACCCGTATTCCTTGGCGAGATGTTCTTTTTTCTCGCAGCTTCAAGGGGTATTGTGACTGCTTTTCGGTGCGGCTTAGAACTCTATTCGGTTTTGTTTTAAACTGTGCTGGTTCTGTATCTTTTGTTTCGGAGTTCCGGCTGGCCCCCGCCGGCTCGGAGGAGTCGGTAGAGCTGTTGCCAGGCTCCGCGCCGGAAATGAAATGCCAGGGCACTTCCGGGGCTCCGCGCCGTTTTGTTCGGCCCCGAGCTAGCTCCTCCCCGTGGGGGTGGGGCCGTTCCCGCCCCCCCGGCTCGCCGCGCCCCCCACGGGGGGTGGTTTTTGCCTTATATGGTGGCGGCGCCCGGCGCGGCCGCTGGTTGGCTCTGTGCCCCGAGCCGCTCTCCGCCCCTTTCTCCCGCGCGCGCGCGCCCCTGAAATCGCGCGGTGTCTGAGTTTTCGCGCCGGGACCGCCCGGGCCCCGCCCCCCTCTACGGCCCCCGGCGCCATTTTGAAGGTGGCGGCGTGGCCACGCGGCTGTGCTTTCTCGGGCCGCGGCTTCTGCGTTTCGGGCTTTTCCCGCTAGCCCCCGCCAAAAGCGCTCCGCGCGCGGCTGCGCTTCCGGCAACGGACTTTTGACCGGCGGCGGCGGCGGGACGTATCGGCAAGCCGCGGTTTCTCGGGGCTTTTTTGCGGCGGGGGTTTCCCGGGGGTTTTCCGCGGCGGGGGTGTCCCGGGGGGCTTCTGCGGGGGGGCTTGGCGCCGCTCCGCTCGGCGCGCCGGCGGGGAAGCGGCGCGGGGCCGCGGGTGGGTTTGGGTTCCGGCGGGAGCGGAGTCGCGCTGCTCGGAGCGCGCCCCGGCGGGATCGGGGCCGCGCCGCTCGAAACGCGCCGCTCCGGGGGCTGTGCTGCCTCTGCCGGGCTGGGCTGGGCTCAGCTCTGCGGCGGGGCCGGGCTGCGCTCTGATCCGGGGAAGGGGTTGCCGCGCTGAGCCCCTCTGGGTCTCCACTCCCGGGTGGACCTTCCTCAGGGACGGTCTGCGTTTTCGCCCCCGTCCTGAGCTCGGGTTTAACTAATAAACACGTGCGCGCTGCATTCTGCGTCTCTTGTTTTTCTATTGCCTTGCGCGGGGTTTTTTCTACCTTGCCCCGTGCCGTAACGCTTTCGCCTGAGGATTTTGCCTCCCCGGCTAGTGTGGCTGTATACTGTTCCCATATCCCCGGATGCATGGCATCCACTGAGCATTCGGCTGCTCCAAGCCCAGGCAGCCTTGCTATAGCAAGATAAAAGTCCCTGAGCTTAAACGCGATATTCCATTGCTTCATACTCACGGCCCATGCG